TGTGTATGAAAGAGTGCCACAGAGATAAACGAACTGAGAAGCTTTGTGTGTGTGTGTACACACGTTACCAAAATTACTCTAGAGATTACGAGGAATACACAGTTACCAAAATTAAGAAGAGATCTGCAAAGAATACATGTGTGTGTGTATATATGTAACAGTTAGAGGATTAGGATACACACATATATATAGATATACACCATAAGCCATCGTAATCTTTACACGGCCTGGAAGAAGGATATGTTCATCATCACCATGAAACTGACTTCTCTCAGTCTGCCATTCTAACATCTCTTCTTCGGAGACAAATCTTGATCTTTACGCAACATAGTCCCCGATGGGAGCCCTAACGTGATCCTCACGTAAGCACCGAACCAACCGCTGGCCGGCCGGAGGTATCGCTCTTATTTCTATCTCCCTTGACGCAAACATTGAGTCGGCGAAAAGAAAGGAGACGAGAAAGTTCTAGAGCTTTCCATCTGAAGAATCGGGACGGAGAGAATCTGCCTTGATGGCAGTGGAAGATGACGATTTTTGAAGAGAGTTGGTGCCCTTGGAAGGAGAAGAAGGAGGGACCGGGAGCTTCTTAGGGAGCATTTCTTCCCAATGGACTTTAGGCGCTCTCGAAGCCTCTGAGAGAAAGAGAAGGCTCAGAATGGTCAAGAGGACGCATATTCTCCTGCACGAATCCGACATGATCTTTCCAAAGAGTAAGGAGATGAACAGATGGAAGCAATTGATTGGCTGATCGATGAAAGAGGAGAGTGCAGAGAGAATGTTGTTGAGAGAGAGATATATAGGAGAAGAAGAAGAGAGGAGGAACAGAGCGAGTAATGTGTGGAGGCAGTCTAGTTGTTTTGTTTAGGAAAGGTGGTGTCTTTGGCAGACAACGGAGGGTTTTATATTATTTCTTTAAAAGTTTTACTTTTTAAGCTTACCTCACCCTTTTTCCCTTATTATTATTATTATTATACGCAAATAGTTTATAGCTATTTCATTTATAATGGTATAATAACTATAGTTGTTTTTTGTAGATCTTATTAATCTATTTCTCGACTTACATTCATTAATAGATGATGAACAAAGATTCAAGTCTTATAGAATTTATGCCTATCCCATTGACTAAAAAGGTTTAATATTAATTAGTATAATATGTTTTTATTACACAAGGAAGATGCTGAATATCTTTTTGTTAAAAAGGTTTAATATCAATTCGCATACGGTGGCGAATTTAGAATTTTTTTTTTACCTTGTACACAATAAAGGGGGGAGGAGTTGAGAGAGAAGAGAAGGAAGGAATACATCATTTTTAAAATTTATAATAAAATCCACAATGTCAATTTGGTATAAGTTTTGCAAAAAATGAGATTGTAATATTAGTATTTTACCAATGATACGTATTTAGGGTTTGAAAAACAGGAATGCATTTCCTAAAATGTAAATGTTTAGCCACATTTGGATATTATAAAAAGTACAGGAACAAATAAGAGAGGTGGGGGCCACAAGGGTGTTTGACGAAGTAAATCTAATCTAAGCTGTCAGAGTCTCAGAGTCAGTTCGAGTGTTATCATTAGATTTTGGGACAAACCAGCCTATGCTCCTCCTGAATTCTACGGTCTGTTCACCGTATTTATATACATACTTTTTGTGTACATATATATATATATATATATATATATATTAGTGTTAGCAGGACTGTATTACATACGGTTACTAAAATTAGTCTTAATCGCATAAATTAATTCATATAATATCAATTACAATTATTATATAATAATTTAAAATCAAATTATATTTTTCTAATTACTAATATTCCGATAATAAATTATTTCAAAAAGTGTATATTTGCTTAGATATTTGGTTTATTCTTGATCTTTTGCACATCATCATCATTTGCACGGGCCTCCATACCTTTTTTTGGTTCCACACATTAAATTTTCTGAAATTTATTCGAACGAACGTATTTCTTAAATATATATATTCACATGTGTCCGTGTGTGTGCGTGCATATACGTACAATATATGATACATTTTTTTTTTATGTATTTTATATGGACGTGTAATGAGAGAAATGAATAGGAAAATGAAACGGCGGAGAGTAGAGTGATGTAGGGAATTCAATGATTATGTCCTCTTGCACTCATTTGCTTACGAATGGAATAAAGGAATGGACCTTATCACAAAATTATTTACTGGTGGTAAGTGTGTTTTTTACTTCTGTTAATTATGTGAGAGAGTCGCTGACCGTATTACCCATTTAAAAGGTAAACTTATTTTTTTTAACTTCTCTATTTTTCTTTTTTCTTTTACTTTCATGTTTCGTAAACCACTAGATTACCCCATTTTAAATCATGTGAATTTAACATACCAAATATGATGAAATCGATTGAATTTTTGTCTAGATAATTTCAGTTTTGCAAAAAATATTTTTGGATATCTTATTTTGAAAACAAAAAATATCTTCTATATTTATTGGTATACACACTTTTTAAATTGATTTTAATTTTATCCATTATCACCGCAATTTTTTTCAACGATACATTTTGTGAAGATAACTCTACATAACCATAATCAAATTGTTGATCAGTTTTTAATTAATTCTCTAGTGTATTTTATCGAAAAGATATATTATATATAGTTATAAATGAAATTATTATGGATATATTTTAGAAAAAAAAATAAAAATCGTATAATGGAAAATACTTATTGTGATGATATATTTTTATTATAACTTTTTTTATATTTAATATGTATTTCACCTTATGCGTGCGAATGCATATGTTTTATTAAAAAAAAAAAGATATTTATGACTCAAGAGTTCAAAGTGAATGAATGTCAGTTTTGAATTTTAGAGAACTAGCTCAATTAATTCATAATTGAGATTACACAAAACCAATATAATTAGTTGCTACTTATAGGTTATTACATGTATCCGAACATTTATTTCCATTCCTAAGTTAGTTATCACCGAAACACACTTGACGTTTCAAATATTTGGTATATTTATATTAAATGAAAATTGCTTATGTATATGTTTGGGGAGTTTTTAACAGATTCATAATACTTTTATGGAATCTCAGTAGCAAACACAAAAAAAGTGTTATTCTCTATTTTTCCTTAATGCAAATTCATCATATTTCTTAAAATATAAACAATTAGTTTTTTTTATGGTTTATGTTGGAGGGCCCACCTATGATTATGAGACCATTTGCAAAGATTATCTTAATCAAACAATCATACGAACACGAGTGCTGTTTCCATTAACAAAAAGGTATGGTTTAGGACACCATTGCCATCCCTAGAAAGATAGAGAGAGAGAGAGAGAGAGAGAGAGAGAGAGATCCTTTGGGAAATTGAACAGGAGTCTCAAAAGAAGCACCTTTTGACATTTTTGTATGTTTCTTTACCAACAATGATGGTATATTCAATTTGCCTACACACATACATACATACATACATACATACATATACATGCATGCATGGGTATACTTTTATCATGTAATATATATATATATGTGTGTATGACAGAGAGAGAAGACACTTGTTTATTGGCAAAACCATAGTGTGATTGGGACAGCCAATTTTGATGCAGCAACACGAGAGAGAGAGAGAGAGAGAGAGAGAGAGAGAGAGAGAGAGAGAGAGAGAGAGAGACATAAGGTGGAAAAAGGTTTCAACTTTCGGATTGTTCTTGTTTCCGTGAGATGGGAAAATGAAAGTTGCAGAGAAGGGGAAGTTCTTGGGCTCTCAATCTTCCGAGTACAAATAGATATGAAGAAGGGGAAAGAAAGAGAGAGAGAGAGAGAGAGAGAGGGGCAACTCCTAGGAAAGATCAAAGGTCCTATTGAGCCATGAAGGAAGGAAGAAAGAAATGTTCTTTAAGTCTAAGGTCCTCTCTAGAGCTCCCAACATCCCTCTCAAAAGTCCAAAGTCATACGACACACCCTATATTAAAAAACAAAAACATAAATTGGATCAAATAAATAAAGCCAGCATCCATCATAGTTTTATTATAAATTATTAATTACATCATCCCTTAAATCATAAAATAATATTTTATTTGGTTAGATGCTTATAAGATAAGTGCGGTAAACATGTTGAATTTTACTCTGCATCTCAATCCAGAGATTGGATTTATTATACTACAAACCATTTAACATGAAAAAAAAACGAAAAATTATAAATTAAACATTTAATTTATTCTTTCTTATACACTATAAATCAAATACACAATTGATTGTTTTAGGAATCAGATATTATTTTATTATTTCTTATAAATCAAGACAAAGAACATGTTCAAAACAAGATTTGTCAATGTTCAGACAATCAACCCATCTTTCATGGGTTTGTTGTAGACAGTCTTTTCTTCTCCTTCACTTGTGTTGTGCTGTTGTTACCAGTTAGGTCTCTGTAAAGCTCTTAGTGCACACATATATATATATATATATAATATTATACACACATATATATATATATATAATATGGTATATAGGGCACGTTCATTACCAGTCAAACATGCCCAGATTCTATCATCTAACAAAAATCATACAAAGGAACCGAAAAGAATATCTTATCAATCTTCAAACTTCATTGTGTATACACTTGGATGGTTTCTGGATACACTATGTTTATGAGTTACGTATACAATTTCCTTCGTAAAGAATCTCATACCTAAGGACAAACAGCAACTAATTCGACGAGGGTCTGAAAGAACAACTTACTGAAACTCTATAACCAATGGTTCCAGTGTGGAAATAGATACGGATGGTTCGCTTCTAGTTAAACGATAGCCGAGTCTATTGTCTCGGCCTCTTTGGGACGCCAAAACGACTTCTGAACCGAGATCAGTCCCTCGTCGTCTTTGGAGTACATCATTCTCACTTCCCATTTCATGGACTTCACTATCCTTTCGATTTCATTAATTGTTTCAACATCATCTCTCACGATGAATGTTCCCTGTGGCCTGAGAATCCTATCGACTTCGGCCATAACTGGTATCAAATTGCACCTGTGATGCCAGAAAAAGGTGTCAGCATATCGATTGAGATCAGATATTAAGGATCAAGCCAACCAGTTCTGTGCATAGTTTATAAATGAGACGTGTAGGCGATGTGTGATAATACCTCTTCTTCAGGGCAGAGAAAAGACGATCAGCGTGAAGAAGGTCATAAGTTCTCGGGTAAGTGTTGAATGATTCACACCAGTCGTGATAGATTCCGAACAAACCACGTTCGTATATTATTGGAAGTGTGTCTGCTGAGTCAATCGGAACAACGTTCATCACCCACAGTTTCAGATCCTTCAGTGCAGCAGCAAATCTGGCACCCGAGAGATTTTTTTGAACGAAAAGAACCAAAGACAAGGAACCCATTAACAAAGCCAACAAAGAGATGTTCAAAGAAATTGGTAGGTTAAAAAAAAAGGTTAAAAAACCTTACCCTCCATAGACAGCTCTCATGTCCATGACATTTCTCACTGAAGACCAATCAATTCCCATACCGTTGAGGTATGATTTCGATATAATCGTCTTCCAGCGTTCGTAGTCAGTGTTGAAATCCTCTTCTGCAGGTTTCCCGTAGACACCTTCCTGAGAGCTCAACCATTCTGGTGCAGTCTCCAACCTTTCCGGCCACTGCTTAGGCCATGCAGCTCCATGCTTCGATGAATCTTCCAGTACCTTGTGCATGCATGCCTCAAGTGGAACATTCCTGAATCATTCGCATATGTTTGAATACTTTTGCGTTAAATTGTGTTGTAAATATAAGTTCTTATTCTCTCTGGGTGAAAATACGGAATATCAGACACGGGATAGGTAAACACCAGGCTGCATCTGGATCATCCGACTCCTTGCAGAGCGGTGGCTCGTTCTGAGGTCTGTTATTGTAGCATTTATTTGAAGTTGGCTTCTGGAAAATGGCAGCACCAACCTCGTTCAGTTTGTCTTTCTTGATGGTTACCAACTTCCAGCACATTGCCTTTGTTAGCTCCGACATCGCTACAAGACGAGGTAGGCATCTCAGAAGTTAGCATCGATCTTCCAAAAAGCTTATTAAGATAATGAGCAAAAACATAAGAGAAGAGCTCAAACCTTCCCATATCCCAGAATCTTCTTCGTTCTTCCGGTAAACAGGAGTAGCCGACCATACAAAGAAACCGCCTGGCCTCAACACTCGGTTCAATTCCAGAAGAAGTTTACCACCTTCAGTTGAGACAAGAAAAAAAGTTAACACGAAAAAGTAGGCTAAATAAATAGACCCAGAAACCATACAGCATAGCATAGTGTGACGCCGTACCTTCGATATGCCAGGGGACCCTACAACGAGCACAATGGATAAGATCGAAAACCGAACCGGGATAAGGTAGTCTCTTGGTCCCCATAACATTTATTACAGC